CCTTTGGTGTGAGTCATCAGCTCACTTAAAGCCCAAGCAGATCAATCTGGACCGTTGGTTAATAACTCTCGATCCCAGCGGTCCACGCCTCCACTTATATATCCTCCCTCTCTCACAAAGCCTCCAAACCCTAACCCTAGCAGCTGCACCTCCTCTCTTCTCTCTCTTTTCGACGGCCGAATCTTTCGCCGGATTCCATGGCTGTCGGAGATTCGGTCGATTCTCTTTCCTTTCTTGCTGCATCTGCACGAGTATATATACATCTCTTCTTGAAGATGAAGAGGGCATCGAAATCTTCCCATCTTCTCTGTGTGGTGAGTGTTTTGGGTTGAGACTACAGTTGGAGTGAGGCTGAGATCTTAGCACTCGGATGAAGTTCTGACTGCTGGGCGTGGATCTGTGAGCTTGATATCGGGAGTGTGCTGGCTGCCGCCGACTGAAATCCGGACGTGGACACGGGAATCGAGGACTGAGTCGTTGCTGTGTCATCTTCTCCACAAGAGCTGAAAATGGGCAGATTTTCAGATCTGCCCCAGATTAATTCTTGTTTTATTATTATTATTATTTCTGTAATTTATTTGTTAAATCCTAATCCCCTTCTGCTTAGGCTTATTAATCTTTGTAATTCATTTGATTAAAGGTTTGTAATATTAATGCTATTTGAACGGCCACCCAACAATCTTTTGACTTGATGTGCCGTTGAATTTTACCAATATTAAAAATGTTATTGTGATTCATATACTTGATCAACTCAGAGTTGCGTCTCTTGATTTATAATTTAGAAAATAAAAAATATAACATTCTTGTGGACGATAAAATAATTTACGTTTGCCTGTGTGCACAGGTCTTGTTAATTTACACCCATTCATCGAACGAATATGTATTGTAGGCATAGTAATCTATTACATGATTAATAAATTTGATATAGTTTAATAGTGGATTAAGATAGTTACATAGCTGAGAACGTTAATTTAATTGTGGAGTACGTTAATTCTCTACTGAATTTCGATAATTTTGTAGTGCATTTCGATAACTGGATTTTGACAAATTTATAGTGGATTTCGATAACATTTGAGTGGATATTATGTTGTTTGAAAGGGGATATTTTGAATGAATATAATTGACATGCTTTTGCGATGGCGGAGCGATGGCGGCGGAGAGGGATAGATAGGTCGGACGGAGAGGGATAGATAGTTCGGTGATGCTTGTGTAACCGTGTTGTTGGTGCCTTTTTTTCTTGCAAACGATATAGGGTTTAAGAATAGTAGATTTTTTTTCCTCTCTTCTATTTGTTGTTCTGTAGTGGATTATTTATGAGTGGTATTCGGCTGGTGCGGCACGGGGATGCGCTCTGTTTTCTGAAATTTCGGGGA